CCTGTTTACAAGCCACAAGCACCTGCCGCGAAACCACTGCTAGCATTTGCTGAGTGGGGTTAGAACTGTAGACTATTCATCTGACAGGTATTGGGTTGGTATTGTGCTTTCTTTAAAACTGAGGTTTATTTTAAAAGAAATCTCACAGAAATAAGAATCATGGACCATTAGAGCTGGAAGGACGATACGAGAGTGCTATTGAAACTTTTCATTTTACAGATGAAGAGTCTGTTTCATCATCTGTAAAATCAAAGGGTTGGAAGGGATAAAACTGCATATCTTCCACCTGCAAGAATCTGTGAAATCCAGGGAAGTGGAGCAGCTGCCCAAGGTTGCACAGCCGGCCCCTGTCAGGCTTGGAAGGCACTCGGTTGCCAGGATGTTTTTCCTGGCTGTGAGCCCACTGGGATTTTAAAGCCCTCTCCTTAGTTGTTTGACACAATGCAGGTGAATAACCATTTTACTAGGTTGGATTTTTTTCCATTTCAATCAGGTTTTCTGTGTTGTTTCAACATAACCTCAGGGATATCATCAGCAACAGAAGGAGCAAAGCATGAACACAACTCAGTTGTGCTTGGAGCCAGCTGAATCACTCAATAAAGTCCAACAAACTCAGACTCTAGCAACAAACTTGGCCTTCAGTGTTGAGACCAAGATACAATGGAGGTAGTGCTTTGCCACACAAATTTGTGTTGAGATGCCCTGAAACAGGATCAAACTCTGAAAAACTGAATGCCCTTATTTATTGGAAGTTTACAGTCCTAACTAGCTAGAAAATTACCATGGGATGAAATACTTAGTCCTGAGTTTATGGTTGCAGCAGCTGCCAAGCGATTTCTCCACTTCCCTGGGGCAGGTGCTGTAGTGTGAAATCTTTCAGCAAATGCAATGTCAAATCTCTCAGCAGTGATGGAGCAGCTAGGCCATCCCTCAACCTGGAGGCGGAGCATCTATCTCTCTACACCACACTGGGTCTCTGATTCCCTCAAGTACACTATGGACTCTAAACCTGAATTCCAGTTTCACTTCATCCTTGACTAGGACACAGGCCAATATCACTGCCACCACCCTGACCATAAACAAAACGAAACATGACAAACAAAAATACTTATAGCTTATGTAACAGAAAAAAGATTAGTATCTCTAGTACGTATAAAGCTTGTAAAACTTGAAATGTTAAAGACCAACAATTCTACTGGAAACAGGTGCCTAGAAATAATCAATTTTCAGAAAAGAATTCTTATGTCCCCTAAACATGTAAACAGATATCCAAACCCTACTCCCTACTCACCGCAGGGAGATGTGAACCACCTAACGTATAGGGAAAAACCTTATCAGCATGCCTGGGAAAAGAACCACCTTAGATCTTGGGCTTGAGTGCAAATTGGTACACACTTTAGGATGAAAATTTAGTATCTAAGAAAATTACAGATAAATCTCTTTATAAACATCTACCTCAAGGACAGGAAACATATGAGAAGCTATCAATTTCCAAGCTTGTAATTGCAATACCATTCCAAATTTCAAAACGCAGGGGAAAAAAAAAATCCCTCAAATGCCCATTGCTAGAAGACTAGGTGAATAACGATGGTCTATGCTGCAGCCATAAAAGGGAATGAGAAGGATCTTTAGATGTTGCCAGTCTCCAAAGTACTGTTGTGAATTCGCAAAAAGTAAGACAAAAAGCCACGTGTAACATCCTATATATATATGAGTGTGTTCATGTTTGTATATGTGTTAAAATTTAAAAACAGAAAAAAACAGAAAAGTAACCCCACAAGCACTAAAACCAAGCTGAGGAAGAAGAGGCAGGGATAAGCAGCCAAGCTCCTTTATTTTGATCTGTGGTTTTTCCTTTCTGAATCCTAGAGAGATTTTAATCTCATTTTAAAACAGACCAACGAAAATGCACAATGAAGCAGATGAACATGACTGTGACTGACTTGTGGCTTAACCACACAGAAGAATAATTGCAAGTGATTTTTAAAACAGAACAATGTTCAGCTTCATAGCAAGCACTATACTCTGAAAGGCCAAAAATAAGCACAATGAAATATTGGGCCATTTTTCAGTTATTGCGTTTTTAGTAATAATATATGTAAGATAATTCTGAGTATATATTTTAAGCAAGTAAGAAACTATATTAACGCTGTAAGAGGAAGGACAGTGCACAAAGGAAAATACAAATTAAAATTCAACACAGGGAAATAAAATTTCTATACTCCTAAAATTGAGCTGAAAGTAGTAAAATGAATTTGTGGTGTAACTTCTCAACACAAAAGGTCCAGAAGGAGTGACCTATTCAATAGTGCTAAAACACCCAGCCCAACTGTGTTCTCAGGGCAAATTTCCTTCTTGAAAAATCCAAAGCTCCCAGGAGAAATGACCGACTTTAAGTCAGGATCCAGGAGTTATAGAACGTAAGTCTGGAATATCTAGACCTACCTAAATGCAAGATGTTTATCAAAGATCATGGGGGTCATGACCGAAGGATACAGGAGAAACTTGAAGAGGCTCCCCACCTTGCTGAAATAGAGCAACTGGATCATCTAAATAAATAAATAATAAATAAATAAAAACAGTGTAGACTGAGACATACTATTTTAAAATCCATGTGCTCATAAAGATGCATTTTAAAACCTGCTCTCTTGGTAACATGTGGAGGATGCCAGGGAAACAGCACATTATTTTGAAAATTAGTAAATGAAAGAATCAACTATTTGTCCTGTTTCGTGGTGGCAGTTACTGTTTGTTTATGTTGTACCATGGAGTACTCAAATAGCTGAACTGGGAAACTACTTCTTTGAGGACAATACTATCTAACAAATGCAAAAAGGAGAATAGAATTTGCATACCACTAGTGTGTAACCCCTAAATAAATAATAGATTAAGTGGTCAGCATCAATGGAACTAATGCTAATAAACCGGCAGAGAGCTGCAAATGGTAGAGCATGCTGAATGCTAATGTGCATGGAAATTAGCTGGGTTCACTGTTACATATTCTGAGATCTGAGGCTGAGCCTGAGAGTCTGAAGCTATCACAAATCATCATGATATGAGTGCTGTTGGTCAGAGGACATCTAAGAAAGAGGAAAGAACCCTGGCATCTCAGAGTTGGCCTGCTACTGTCCACTGGGCCTAGAGTTCTCCTGTTGAAGATAAACAGTTTCATAGAACAACCTCCAACAAGGTCATTCTGTGACCATGATGGATCAAGACAAAAGTAAGATAAAGATTTCCAATAATGAGCATTATCCAAGCCACAGACTGACTAAACAGCCCCTGTTCTGGCCATGAAGAAGAAAATTGCTTCTATATCAATTAGAGCTTTAGGCTTAGTCTGGTCTTTCCTCTTCTAAGATGATTTAACTAAGCGTTAATCATGGGACAACTTCTACTTCCTTACACATCCAATCCAGAAAGAGGTCCTGATTCCTTAAACCTTCCCTAAATAGCACCAAACATAAACCCAAGTTCCATAGCAAGTCCTTCTAACCTTCTCCAAGACTTCCCAGGGTTCCCCCTCTTTTATTGCTACATGTAAGAAACACCTTTTGTTCACCCATGAGTGTGCTCTGCTGGTCCTCGCTAGAGTAGCCATCACTGAGCCAACAGCTCAGTCACTAAACACCATTTGCCTCCTGACCTGATACAATAGAAAGTTCCCAGCACTATCTTCAAAGTAATTATGAATGAAAACAGTTGAACCTGGTTCTGATTAAGCTCTAGCTTGTAAGAACTATTGGGCACACAAAGACATTTTAAGGAACCATACTTAATTTACTCAAAAGACAAATCACTTCTTTTCCTTCCTTTTTTAAAACAACAAATAACATAGGAGATTGTGCTGAGTAGCTTCAGTTGTGAACTTGACACATCTGGGAAGAAGGAACTTCAACTGAGGAATTTCCTCTATAGGACTGGCCTGTGGCCGTGTCTGTGAGGCATTCTCTTAATTGTTGAGTGATGTGGGTGGGCCCAGCCTACTACGGGTGGTGCCACCTCTGTGCAGATGGTCCAGGGTTGAATAAAAAAGCAGGCTGAGCACAGGCCAGAGGAGCAAGTCAGTAAGCAGTGTTCCTCCATGCTCTGGGTTCATGCCCCACTTGAGTTTCTGTCTTGGCTTCCTTCAGGATGGACTGTGATTGGGACATGTAGCCAAACAGACCTTTTCTTTGTCAAGTTGGTTTTCCGTCAGTTGTTTATCACAGCAGCAGCAACCAAAGTAGAACAGAGGTTGCAGAGGAACTTAAACACTAAACAAAACTCAGGAGTCAGAGCAACACATCATACTGTGTAACTGTAGTTTGAATCCTGATATGTACAAACTGCTAACAAATAATGAGAACAACAAGAAGTCAATCGGGGATGTTTGAACAGTGAATAGAGCTTTGATATTATTAAATTGCGATTGTGAAGCATTGATTGTGAAGCGTTTGGGGCTCTGTAGTGGCAACAGTCTTTTTTAAGGTATTTATATGTCAAATGTGATGTCTGAGATTTGTTATAACACAATGCAGCACTAATGAAAAGGAGGGATGCTGTGCCCATATCTAGCAGTGGCTGAGGGTATGTGGCAGTCCTTTTTACCATGTCCCTATTGTTTATGTGCTAGTGAAATTCCATCGTAAACAATCTTCAAAGGTATTTTTAAACTATTTAATTTGCCAGATCATTTTTGAAAGAAGATATATTGAACAGAGGGAAAAATTTAAGGAAACAGCTCAGAATGGCTACAAAGTCCTAGGGAAACAACAATGGCGTACAAGAAAGAGCTCCTTCCACTGTGGAGACTGCTGTCTGCTTTGAGAGCTATCTACTATTCACATATTTCTTCACCTTTTCTTTCCTTTCTTTTAATTTAAGTCACTAACAGATGTGTCAGCTGCCTGTGATGAGGAATAAAGAATTACTAGGGAGACTGGATGATGGCCCGTGAGAAACATTCAATTTAAATGTTTGACTCTTATAAGAAGGAAATATATTATTTGAACAGTTACCTGGATCTGTAGCAGACATCAGTGAACCAAAAAATAAACAGTCAGTGAAATGAAAGTCCCCATTTTTCAGCTGGCCAGCATACACCATGACCTTCACAAAACCATACATAATTAACCTGTAAAAGAGAAAAACAAGATCTTTAAACATCACATTGAATCCTGTGTAAACCCACGCTATCACAGCGGACGTTCTAATGTGGTTCCTGAATCTGTACCATGCATAAATTGCCACCCCGCTGCCAACTCATGCTACTAGAATCTCCCAGCTGTGAATGATACTTTCACCAAATATCATATTTCTTTCACCCAGCAAAAGATAACAGTGTTTGATAACATGTTCCATTGAAAGCAAGGTAAATTTCAAGGACATACAAATCTGTCAAATGTGGCACAGCAAATCATGCTCACAAATACAGTAGCTGTATTGACATCTGAAAATGGATTGCTTTCCAGCTTTCCTTGCTCTGTCAGCTAGGAGTGTCTGCAGAGGATTCAGGTTTCAAGTCTATCCCTGTGGTGAGAAAGATACAGGTGCATGCAGGGTACAGACAACTGGTCATTTTACAACAGCTACACCTCCCTTCTTCCTGGTGTCAGGACCCATCCACTTTGGGTGGAGAAGAGAAGCACTGTTAGGTAAGAGTTCACGAAGCTTCAGCAGCCTTGAAAACAAATACTGAAATGGTTATATGCTTTGGTTTCGCAAGGAAAGACTTCTATGAAGATTTTAAAGGTTTAATTTCCTTAATATTTCTACAACATGGGATACAACATCTCTATTTGGGTTGTAATTTGCCACACTGTAGTTTTAAAATAAACCCAATCCCAGAAGCCATGAAGTATTACATGAAAATCCCAGGACCAGAGGTGGGCTGCCTTCCTGAGTTTTTGATCAGGGATGCCTCTAGCGGAGGCCCCTAAAGCAACTCGGGCTACTGCCAGTGCCGTTGGTAGAGACTGAGTCCACGTGCACTGGTTGCAGGACATAGAGAAAACAAGCTGGGACTGAGCTGGAGGCTTCGTCTCTGCCAGCTAGCGTCCATAGTGCTGGGACAGGCTGTGTAGGCTGCTGGGGAGAATTATCATCAGCAGTCTCATTCCGATGGTCGCTGCGTGCTCTCTGTGCCCACTGCTGGAAGAGTTGCAAGCCTGTTGTGGGGGTAACCAATAATTTTCTGATCAGCTTTGAGGCCTGTCTCACTGGAGGGAATTCACATCTGGTATTGTAAATCTAGTCAAAAGCCCAAGCTAGGGCGGTCATAGGTCCTGGTGGGAAAGCTGCTGCTGTTGTTTTGCTAAATGGACATGATGTGTTTGTCAGATTGCTTTCTAAATATGATTATGCTCGTATATTAGTGCTGCTATCAGCTTTGAACAGAGTCACATTTTCTGCTGTAGGCAGTGGTTACTGCAAAAATTCTTAGCTGGTGGAAAAGTGCTTGAGAATAAAAGCTGTTGAATGTTCAGCCATAAATGGGTTATCCATATCACCCCTCCAAGGCCCAGGGAGCATGGTGAAGAAGGATCAGTAAGAACGAAAGGGTAGAACGAGGTGGAATGCCATCCTTGGCCATGACACGGTTGTTGCACTCTTAAACTCTCAGCAACTGTCGTTACTTGCATGCAAGATTGGGCCTGTTAATAGTCCATCATCAAGTGGGGAGAATCCTGGTCATGTGTTCCCTTCCCCGTGCTGCTCTGCGAGTTATAGGAAGTTAAGGGCCGTAAGGGGGGCTGTGCCGGATAGCTTTAGTGTGAACTTAACACACCTGGGTGAGAGGGCACCTCAATTGGAGAATTGCCTCCATTGGACTGGCCTGTGGCCATGTCTGTGGGGCATTTTCTTGATTATTGAGTGATGTGGGAGGGCCCAGCCCACTGTGGGTAATGCCACCCCTGGGCAGGTGGGCCTGTGTTGCGTAAGAAAGGAAGCTGAGCAGGGGCCAGGGGAGCAAGTCAGTAAACAGTGATCCTCCATGGCCTGTGCTCCAGCTCCTGTCTCTAGGTTCCTGCCCTGGGTTCCTACCTTGGGCTCCCTGATGAACTGCGACCTGGGAGATGTAAGATAAATAAAACCTTTCCTCCCCAAGTTGGTAGTGGTCAGAGTGTTTTGTCACAGCAATGAAGAACAAACTAAGACAGGGGTATTTAGGAGATGTTGCTGGTAATCTACAAGCAGTTAATGGATGTTGAGGGAGAGACAAAATTTTCTTCAGTGGTATGGCCACTGATAAGGGTCCCATGCTCCTGTAAGTAGTCTTAAATGTATTCATCAAAATAAGTGAATTAAATAAATAAATAAATAAATGTGAAAGCTGAGGGAGAGTAGTTGGAAAGAGGAAGGAAGTTAGCTGGAGTGGGGGAGACGGGTATGTGGTCAAAATGCATCACATACTTATTTGAAAATGTCATAATGAATCCAATGTAGGTATAATTAATATATACCAATAAAAAACCCTTAAAAGTCATGTTTGCTTAATTAACTGGTTTTGCTAAAACTCTAATAGAGAAAATATGGAGATTGGCGCACTGAACCTCAGTATGATCTAAGATCAGTAACAGTCCGTAGCAACTGCAGATTATCCAGCCAGTGGTAAATACTGACATACTCACATGCATGTACAATTTACTTCTAAGAATTGTTCTGAGATTGTGAGCATGGCTTTAGAGCAGCTAAATATCACACATTAGAACTTATAATTTGAACAACGATGCAAACATTTCAAATTCTGTTACCACTAACTCCATCAGAGACTGTTTCAGACACAGCGCATTTAAATAGTCTTTACCACAAGCTTGCTGTATAATTTTAGGGTGTTATCAAAAACTTTCTAAGTCTTATCAGATAAGGTAACAGTGATGTTTTCTTCAGGGTTTAATGCAGTAACAAATATTTGATGTCCCATGCGCAGCGAGTTCTCAGTGAGGCACTTGTTACCATTCACCAATATGGAAATAGCAGGAAACATTTCCAGTTTCTGCTGCTTAACATGCTTTAATTCATTAATCCATACGTCGATCCTGTAAACTAGATACTGTTATTTGCATTTTACACCTCAGAAAATTGAACACAGCATGATGAAGTAACCTGTTTAACATGGTGAACTGAGTGGTGAGCTTATGTTTGAATGGAGAAGGTCTGGCTCCAAGGCAGGGGATTTTAAACACCATCTCCTGTTACCTAGAGAATGACGCTGTGTTTTCCACAACAGTGATATGTGATCTCAGGCAGTATTCTTTCAGCCACATCATGACGTCATTGCTCTAGATGGTCCAAGGGGACAGCAATGGAGTAACCCTAAAAACACAGAAATAGTACCACTCCCTGGGCTGAACAATTGAGCAGATCTACAGTGGGCTAGAGATGAGACCCAACATGGCTTTGCAGAGGAGGGATTCTAGGGTAGGGAGCTGAATTGCAGCCAGGAAGAAGGTGTTGACTATTTGCAAACACTGTGCCAATAGTCTACACCCATGGGAGCTGTAAAGAAATCTAAGAGACTCACTCTGGACCACGTCCCCAGGGGGCCAAATACTGGTTATCAAGTGTAACATCTTCCAACAGGCTCAGGAAAGCTTCTTTCAGCATATTTGTTTGTTCAATGGATATTTATCCTTAAACCCTTAATCATATGCCAGACTCTCTAGTAAGGGCTCAAGATACATTGGTTAATGAACCAAGATCTTTGCCTTTATTGAACATACAGTTTAGTGGGATGGACAAAAATGAAAACAGCCAGAAATTTAAATTCTATCTGTTATCCACATCACTCCCTGCATTGGAAACGATGTGTTACCAGCCCTGGGATTACTCTGCAGTCATACGTGGGAATAGGAAGGCCCACACCATTCCTCCTTTCACTTCCTTCTGGGATTAGCCCAGCCTTATGAAGGTCCTTTCTCATTTGAATTACACTTCAGATACTGAGCACCACCAGGCTGTAGAGCCAGCATGAATTTTATGAACTATGGCTATACTTGTAAATTCTATATATATGAACTAACTTTATAGGAACCAGAGGCTCAGAACTGAAATGCACCTGTTCCATTTTGTTTAGAAGTCATTAAATTAGAGAAGATAAAATATATGTATGCCTGCTACCTATGCTTAATGAGGTTGAGGAGGAACCAACAGCCTTCTTGTATAATTGCTGTAAATGAATTAAAGTCCTTATAGAAGCCAATATGGTAATTTGCCTTAGAAATATTAATGCCAAAGAAGCCAGGTGTGGTGGCGCCTGCCTTTAATCTCAGTGCATGGGAGGAAGAGGCAGGCGGATCTCTGTGAGATCAAGTCCAGCCTTATCTCCACAGCAAGAGCCAGGCCAGCTGGGGCTACAGGGAGACCCTGTCTCAAAAAGACAAAAAGTACTAATGTTAAGATATTCTATAGCGTACAGCAGTTAAGAGCACTGACTGCTCTTGCAGAGGACCTGGGTTCAATTCCCAGCACCCGTATGGCAGCTATGAACCATCCTTAACTCCAGTTCCAGGGGAATCCGAAGCCCTCTTCTGATCTCCACTGCATTGCATGACATGGGGGCACTCACATTCAGACAATACACTCATACACATAAAATAAAAATAATAAGTAAAATATTTTTAAAAAATCTTTAAAAAGAAAAGATATTCTATATCTTATTACAGTTTTCCTATGGGCTAATACCAGTAAATTTATCAGCTCTTTACAAAATGTATGCATTCAGGTTGTTTCAAATCACAAGTACTTAGAGCAAAATATTAAAGAAAATTACTGCATACATATGACTGACTAAAATTCAACTGTTAAAACTATATTCAAGAATATGTACTGAATACAGAAATTGGTTATTAAAAATTCATAAATTCAACATTTTTGAAGTTGAATAAATTTAGACATCTATTTAAACAGAAAAACTAAAAGCATACGATTCATTGTTAATGTTAATAGTGTTCTACAAAAGGGATTAGATGTGACCCCCTCTACATTGTTGCACTTTCCCAATTCTCTTAAATAACAGCCATAATAGAAACAAACAACGTACATTAGTGAGTTCTATTACAGACAATGGTCACTCATTGTGTCATTTAATCATCACACTCCTCTGAGGTGGATGCTTTAATTATTCCTTTCACA